AAAAAAAAAACGAGCATGTACAGAAAGATGTTGACATAATAACTTGACAAATTTTATTAATATATATCTACCTGCCCCGTGCTTTCAAGACGGCCTTTGTAAACTCTCCCGAACCCACCTTCACCAACCAAGCACTCAGGCCTAAAGTTCTTTGTAGCTGCAGCAAGCTCACGAAATGTAAATGTTTGTGCAGCAATGTTAGCTGTTGGCTCTTTAGGAAGCACTAATTCTTTCTTGGTATCAGTACTTCTCCGACCTTTCGATTTATCTAAAGATCATAAGGAAAATCATCAGCAGAGTAGACCACATGATAGTTGTGTAGAAAGTGGATTGCTGCTATGGAAGTTGTGAAAAAATAAAAGTATCTAATACAACAGCCAAAGAAATTTCGTTTAAGAACGGGAAATACAAGATACCCTCTCGTGAAGAACTTTCAGTATCAGATAAAATTCTCAAAAATCAACCACCGTCGTTCAATGCTTTGACAGATAATATATAGATTCCTACTAGACCCAGCCTTTCTTGCCTAACAAGCTGCAAGATATTTATTTACCCCTAATAATTATGTAACCAAGGAACTAACTCAAAGGAAGAATAATGCCAAGAAATAAATAATTTAAATTCGGAGTCTATCATATTTATCGAGGAATGCGAGGGCGATCTTTTCTCCATCATCCTACCCCGGTTGAGAAGGATTCGCCCTCAAATCCGAAGTGATCTCATCTCCATCAACTACCCTTGAGGATTGGCATATTAAGTACAATACTACAAATACCTCTTGTTTTTCTTGTATAAATGCACCCTCAAAACTCAAGGAGGCGGTATCTGTTGAGTAAAGACAAATCTTAAGGGGCTCTTTCAAACACTTTTACGGGGCTATAAATATTTTTGAACGACAAAAGGATTATCTTTTTTATTAGCATAAAGCCCAGGATTGTTCTTGTAATTACACTAATTTTACCTAACGATAGTGCATACTCATGTCACTAACCATCCTTGATCCCCCATAAAGTTAAAACTAGTCCCAGATTTTGGTGCAATTACATTCAAATATTCAATACTTGCAATGCTGCAGATTGAATATCAAACTTTCTGACATTCAAATCCTCAGGCGACCAATAAGTAACCGCACTACTCTGATTCCACCTCAGTGACCAATGACTACTAAGTTCCAGGAAAAATGACCCTGATGTTTACATACAACCCAGGTCTGAGTTCGAAACCAGAAAACAGGTAATTCATCTTTACAGATTTGGACTCAAAATTTATAAAACCGAAACAATTGAACCTTAAAGTTGCTGGATTATTGCAACTGCAACAACAAATAACAAGCTAACTGACTAAACAACCCATTTCACGTCTACAATTCAGGAACTATCTTAACCTAAAAATTCGGAAACTTGAGAGAACACAGATGAAGAGAAAGATTAGATCTCTCTCTCTCATGTCACCACAATAGGCAAAGGGAACCAAGAATAACAATTCAAGCTCAAAATATTTCAACCCCACTAATCCATCCTCGGAATAATGCTAAATTATATATAAAACTGAATTATTATTATTATTTTTTTTTGTAAAAAAAAAAAAGTGTACCTGAATTCACTCCATTCACATGGCTATTAGAAGTAACAACAGCTGATTTATCTTTAAAAGACTCCTTTTTGGCGAATTCTTTCACCCCTTTAACACTGTTACCACTACTTACTGCTTTCTTTGATGATCCAAAGCAAGGAATACAGCCGCCCATATCAGCCCACAACAATATACCCTAAGATTACTTACCCTCTTCACAATTTTATGTATATTTTCATGTAAATAAAA